TTCCTTGAACATATATATAACACCACGGGGAGGGGGGGAAGGAGGACCGGGATGGAGGCATGTTTTCGTCGTTCCTTCGAGATGGAAGGAAAACTATGACAGTATGAAACTTCAAATTCAATTTCCTCAAGGACTTTTTCCTTCATTACCTGAAAAATTTCAGAGAATATTGAAGGCCTTGACATAACGTTTCATTTATGAGTATCTGTGTCAAACTTCCTTTAAAATGTAATGAAGATTTAGACACTTACAAAGTAATCTGAGTACCTAATTCTAGATGTTAAAGCTTTTTTAAAGTATTTTTCTATTATCTTGCTCCCACGAAACTGAACAACTGTTCATTTTTAGCCACTCAACCTTTATCAGATCTTTTCAAAACATTCAACATAGTTTCGTAGACATAACCTGTTTTCACACTCATGTAAATAATTTCACTATATTCATTAGAAAAATTATGTGCAATTGGTATAAGCTGACTTACAAATATAATTGACATGATGAATATACATTCAGCATGGTTTTCTTACAAATAACCTTTTCTTTTTTGCAATATATTCCATATATATATGTACTATATATAACATACTTTGCAAAAGGACTAGACAGCATGGATTAATGTTTAGGTTGTGCTCAGGTAAGAGAGTTACTATTTAAAAACAAATAAAACCAGGAAATGACATAGCATAAGGAGACCATTTTAAAGGAGGTATTCAAGAAAAGCCTCTTAGAGTGATATATAAGTTGAAATTGAATAAAGAGAATTAACTAGCCATTCAAATCCTGGGAAAAGAGTGGGGTAAGGGAAACTGCCCAGAACAAAACTCAGAGACGAAAGTGAGTTTGTCAAATTCAAGGAAATGAAGCTAGGCCCAAAGTAGCTGCAGCGGGGAGTCAGGGGGCCCATGGTAAGATGTGAGATTGGTGTAGGGAAGATCCAAATTACTTAGGGCTTTATAGAAAAAAGTAAGGATTTGGAATTTTGTTCTAAGCAATGTAGGCCTTCAAAGTTTTAAACAAGGGAATGACATGATCTGATTAAGGTTTTTTGGTATGTGTTTTTAAATCAGTGTGGTTGCTATGTGGAAATTACATAGTGGATCATTTTTTAAAATTTAGTTAATAACATAAAAATTTAAAGAACTCTGTTCTGCTATGGACACTGTACATATGTCCATTCTAGAGCTGTTAGCATTTAATATTACTTATATATCACATATATTTCTCATTGTATAAAACTACTTTTGAATTGAAAAATATGCTAATATTTTGGTTTAATATTTATTAATTATAGAGAAGATTTATGGAAAATATTTAGTCATTTGGATTAGCAAACCAGGATTTTTTTTGCTCAGTATACATTACAGAAAGCTATATATGAAAAACATGTCATACCTTTTGTTTTTGTTTTTGTTTGTTCTGGGTTTTTCTTTGGTTTGTTGATTTTGCGGAAAAATACTGCTTAGCCATTTGTTCAACTGTTTTTCTAGTTCTCATTTGTCAAAATTTCAATTGATCTAATGCTGTGCTTTTATACAGAGTAAAAGCAGGAATTGTAAATTCAGAGTATTATAAAAACTGGCAAGTGATTATGTGAATCAAAACTGGGGAGAGCCATGGCCAGTATGGCTCAGTTAGTTGAGCATCCCATGGACAAACAAACAAACAAAAACCTGGGGAGAAGCTGAGCCCGCCACCAAATTTCTGAGAACCTCTGTGTCATCAGACAAAACATATCTGCAGACTTCACTGACCCACAGACCACAGATTTGAGGTTCATTGTCCAAAAGTAATTAAAGCTTCTACAGGACAAAACTGACAAAATTGACCTGAGGGTGGAGGAGGGTTATGTGCTTTTAGAGAATTCAACAATGTAATTTCTGTTTCTTAAAATACATGAGGATCTTTTTCTCTGCCTTGTTAAGTGTAAAAAAGATGAAATCATTTTGGATACAGTCTTACCTAAAGATAAGAAATATATTCTATTATATATCGTGCCTGGCAATGTTCTTAGTCCTTAGGCATGTTGCTATTTTATTTTATTTTTTTAAAGATATCTTTTATTGATTTCAGAGAAGGAAGGGAGAGGGAGAGAGAGATAGAAACATCAATGATGAGAGTCATTGATCGGCTGCCTCCTGCACACCCCCGACTGGGGATCGAGCCCACAACCCGGGCCTGTGCCCTGACGGGAATCGAACCCTGATCACCTGGTTCCTAGGTCAACGCTCAACCGCTGAGCCACAGCCGGCCGGGCTATGTTGCTATTATTAACATGTGAACAAGAATGATATTTGGGCCCAGCCAGCGTGGCTCAAGGGTTGAGCATCGACCAATGATCCAGGAGATCACGGTTCAATTCCCAGTCAGGGTACATGCCTGGGTTGCGGGCTCGATCCCCAGTCGGGAGCTTGCAGGAGGCAGCAGATGAATGACTCTTTCTCCCTCTCCCTTCTACTCTCTGATGTCAATAAAAATAAATATTTTTTTAAAAGTGATATTTGGGATACAAAATGTAATTTTAGGAATGTTAACGCACCAAGTAAGCCCTATATAGGCCTTTCCATCACATTGTTAACTCAAATATAGTTTTTGATGTCTTATGTTTTGAATGTTATTAAAGTGAACCTTTAGGATAAAGGAAATCGGGGACTAAGTTTTTAGCAGGTGTATCCTTTCCTGTGGAATGTCCATGATTAAATACAGAAATAGATTCCTAAATAGGTACATATTCATATTCAGGCAGTAAGGTGGTGGAATAATCTAAGGCTTACAGGTCCTTAGGAGTGGCCCACAGATGTTTACAGTGAATTACTGAAGAGATTAGTAATTTAATAAGACAGAATTCTGATAAAAACAGCTAACTAAATAGAGAAAATAATTTAGGGGGGAATTGCTGGTTTCATTTCTTGATGCCCAGGAGATTATTCATTCTATTTTTGTCATAAACAATTTGATCAATTTGTAAAATGACCACTTTGTGACACACGAGTTTGATTTCAAATGTCTGCAGATTTTATATATACTGAATCACATAAAATCAATTATAATTGAGAATGTGGTATATTTTATTCAAACTCCGTAATATTTACCTACTTTTTGGACTTAACTCCTGGTTTTAAAGAGTTGTCATTAATCAGAACATCACTTATTTTTCTAGGTAAATACTTTGCTATTTTATGTATTTAATAAACACTAGGTTTGCTATTTTTGATATTGCTACCTCAATTCACTTTTGATACATGCCCTTTACTGACATAGTTATATGTCTTGGCAGAAAAATATTAAGAACATGCTAGTTCACATCTCATGGGAAAAGCAATTAGTAATATGAATAATAGTGAAGCTGAATTTTCAACCAGTGGTATAAACTTTGTTTCAGGATGCATAAAAGCAAATTAAAATATTTTAAAATCTGGTTAAGATCTGAAATATACATATGAAATGTATTAGCATATTGTATAATATACCAATATCATATATTATACTATGAATAACATTTAATATTAAATTTAATTAATTTAAATATATTATATTAATTAAATATAAATATATTAATTAAATATATTCACTTTCTTAAAAGAAATAATTCTGGACTATTGAGCATTCTTGACAAGAGCCTGATGAGAAAAGCAAGCTCCAACTAGAAGTCTGTCTAGAGATTAACTGACAATATAAAGCAGTGAGAGGCTGGTATTCTTTTGTGAGAAGTCTGAGATGTAACTGATAAATTCAGTTTCTCTGCCACAGTAGATTGTTTCACATAATTATCCATAGACCTCATCAGCTCATCAGACTTAAGAAAAAGGCCTGACATGCTATAGGAAATTAGGGTGCATGTGCTTAATTTCACATCACAGCATGAAAAAACAAAAGCTTTCCAAGCTGTGATTAAGGGTGTTTTGTTTTGTTGTGTTTTTTGCTTTTTTACCATTCGAATTCTGAAAAGTGTAGTTGAAAAGTCATAGTCTCACTTGGATTTGCCTACCTTCACCTGAGATTCACACCGGCTTGTATGTCACTGAATACCCCACGATCAGTAGTCCTGAGACAAGGATGTCAGCAGACGTTGAAACACATTTTGATGTTATTAATACAAGAGGGGAAGTACAAATGGGCAGGCACTGATTAAATCTGATCACTTCTTATTCCCAAGAAACATGTACTGCCCAATAGGTATTTGCAAATCAGTGTTTCATCCCAGTATCTTCAACTATTGTTATTATGAATTTGTGATTTCATTTGTAGTCTGTCCATATTTAGGAAAATGCAGGATGCCAGGGGTTGTAGCAATTGTGTAGTGAAACACCTAAGAAACTAATTGTAGCAGACACACATTGCTTGTATTCTTCATTATCAAAGACTCTAACTTGACATCAGTACTGGGACAGTTGGGCAGTGAATTGCAGGAAAAACCTATTTTATTAGGTTTACAAAAGTAGATTGCTTCTATTATCTATTTCTAGTTTACTTTCTAATGCGAATAGTTGTTATAGTCCATTTGGTCTGTGTGCAATCTGAATCCTTTGGGGGGAAACTTATGTGTTCTTAATGGAATTTCCTCCCCGAAGACTCTGATATGTTTTGTCCTTTGTTCTCACCTGTGATTTTTGCTACAGTGAATACAGAAATGAGTGACAGGCTACGTGCAGAGTTCCTGGTCTAGTAGAAGTGGGAATGGGGCAATAGAAGGTAAAAGTAAACACAGTGCACTGTAATATAAAAGTGCTGTCAGTAACGAAGATATAAGGTGGTCCTGGGATACGGAGATGAGTCCTCTGTGAGGAACATAAAGAAAAGGAAGCCTAATATCTGAGTATCTACCAAGATGTTGCTTCTAATACCAACCACATAATTTATTTCAACTGTGGAACTGTATAGATAATAAATCTAAGAAAGGGATTCCTATCAATTCCTACAATTTCTTTTAAAAAAAAGTACTCAGGCCCCATGGATCTCTCAACAATAGATCACTTGAATAATTCAGTCATTAAAAATAAACATTAGATATTGTGCATCCTTTTTATTAAGACTTCATTAAACAATGCAGAGATTTTACTACAACAAAAGAACATAACATTTAATGGTTTTCATTTAGAGTCCTTCATGAAAGCTTTGGGATAAAGGAACTATAATTTCAAAGTAATCACACCAACTTTGTGAATGAGTATTATACAGAACTACCACACATGTAAAGAGTTATCCTTTCCAATCTAGGGGAAGCATATAGGATACATGCTATAGGAAAATTAACAGTAAAAACAGGAGTAAACGGGTAGCTGGAAACACCGGTGTAGGGATGAAAACTTCGTACCCATTTAAGATGTATAAACCTTGCAAAGGAAACATAATTCAATTTCCAAGTCTCAGTTCTCTCCTTGTATTAGACATTTCCCCCTTTATAACTAGTTCTTGTTTTTTTCTCCAGAGTAAGATCACCTGACTATTTGGATATTTGTTTCTGTTAACTAGTGGTTGATGGTATACTTTATGTCTACATCCTTAAGGCTTAAAAATAAATTAGGTAGTAGCTTGAAGGAAATGTGATAAGCCCCACCTTTCTACTGAATTTTAACTATGTCTTAATGGTATATATATTAGAACTAAATGGCTTTATGAGGTGTAAAAAGTAATGACTAGTACCCCACTGAACAGAAGATTTAGGCTACGAGAATTTACCTACCTACCTGGGGTTCAATTATCTTGATAAGAAAGTGATAGACACACAGATTTTAATATAAGAAAACTAAAAGGTATGTTAAATGTTGCTGAGACTAAGATTTTTAATTCCTGTTTCTGGTTGACCGGATGGGATCATCTGTATATGAAAGCTAGATACCAAGAAGCAGAGCTCCACTTGCATGAAACCCTTTACTATTTATGAAAAGCCCAATGCGATCCATAATTCACCCAGATAAACTGGTCCCTAGGCACCGGTTTTAGGGAAGGATGTGAGAGAACAGCTCAGCTTCAGATTTAGGGCTTAAGAACTATTGAGAAATAGGAAGGTACGGAGAGATACACTGAGTCCCATCAGAGGAGACTTAAGTAACCTGGTTGATCTTAGAACTGTCCCAGTAAAATAATCATGTTCAGGGCCAGGCCAGAATATCGCTGGCTTCTAAAGGGTGAGATAAGTAAAACATTATACCAGATATATTCGTTGATATTTCAGGTAGCATAGCTTTAGAAAAAACAATTCCAATACCACAAGTTTAAATTTATCCTGTTAACTCTAACATTTCAAAATAATTCCAAAACACTGAAAGAATACTTAAACTAATACAACATTCTATTGCCCCTAAAATAGGATTTTGTATTTTAAATGATTTACCAGAAAAATCCTGTATTTTAGAGGTAAACTTGTTTTCTTACAAAACCCAAAATCTTAAACAATCTTGGTAAATCAGCATTTTAACAGGTCATCCTTTAGTCTTTATGTAAAGATTTCATATCGTTTTACTCAATATTTTTTCCACTTTTAATACTGCTACATATTCTTTGTAATCTTATTCGGTATAGTATCATTTTCAGAGTTATTTTTGTATATTTACAGTGAACTAAGGTGAACAGACCCACTCCCTCTTCCCCCTCCCAATTAAAAATAAAAACAAAAACAAAAAGACAAGAAGAATTGAGATTAGGTTCTGGCAGGAGGGAAACCCTAATCATTCAACTGTGGGGATGCAGAAGTCAGCTTTTTGCACCCATTGTCCACGCTACAAAAAACCTTTCTGGGATTACTGCCAAGTATTTTCTAAAACCTTTCAAGAAGCTCCAGTAGATTTCTGTATTTGTTCCTTTAAAATCAGAATACTCTGCCTTTGCTCAGGAGGCAACATGGCAATTTGATCTGCAGTCAGTTGAAGAACCTGCATGATCAAAGCTGCCTTTTCTTGATCCTGTGGAGTTACCTGGCTCTGCCCAGGACTAAAACTGCTAGGCTGGCCTCCACTTTGCTTGCCAGATGCCTGTATGCCTGTTCCCTGCATGCCTGTTCCCTGCATGCCTACTCCCTGCATGCCTGCTCCCTGCATGCCTGCTCCTTGCATGCCTGCTCCCTGCATGCCTGCTCCTTGCATGCCTGCTCCCTGCATACCCGCTCCTTGCATACCTGCTCCCTGCATACCCGCTCCTTGCATGCCTGCTCCCTGCATGCCAGCTCCAGGATTTCCTACCCCTGAAATGCTTGGGACCTGCCTGGGTCCCTGAGGACCACCTGCCCCCATATTAATGGGACCAGGACCCTGGATACCACTTGTCATAGGGCCTCTTGAACTGGGGCCAGGGCCCCGTATCTCCATTCCTCTTCCATCCATGCCTCTTGCTTCCATCCCTCTGGTTTCCATTGCACAGGTCTCCATTCCTCTTCTCTCCATCACTCGTGTCTCTAATACCTCAGTTTCCATTGCTCGGGTCTCCATCCCTCGAGAGTCTCTACTACCTCTACCATCCAGAGGTAGAACCCTCTGATCTATCATTGGTCCTCTGGGCTCCCCAATTAGCATTCTGGGATCAGCTAATGGCCCTCCCCTCATTTCATGTGAGGAAGGGCCACGGCTGTCATGTCCAGGGGCATGGTGCATGGGGGGACCCTGATGAGGTGGCCCAAGATAGCCTCTGGGCTCTACTTCTCCAGTGTGAGTGACTGAAAGCAAAGTCCCTCCACGTGGGTCATTTGGAGCATCTCCTAACAGTCCCCTAGGAGGTAGTCCACCAGCAGTCATGGGTCCACGAGGCATAGGAGCTCTAGGATCCGACATCTGTACCTGTCCCCGCTCTAAAGGCACTGGACCAACCACTGGCATTCCAATTTGGGGCTGCATAGCTCCACCAGGAGTTAAAGAACCAGGACCAGGTCCAGGAACTGCAGCTGGCATGGGCCCCGGGGCAGGAATTCCACCCTGAATAGGTGTCTGCATCAGAGGAGGAATGTCCTTCACAGGTCTTCTAGCCAAATGCTGAGGCTGAGGAGCTGAGGGGTTCTGCTGGTTCAGCAAAACATTAGGTCCTGGGCAGAGGCCAGGGCCCGGGCCCGGGCCCGGGCCAGGGACCGGGCCAGAGACAGGCTGAGCTTTGCCTGGGATCAGTGGTGTAACATGTATCTTGCGATGCAGAATTTTCAGAGCAATCTCTGGATCCATGATTCTCATCACTACTTGTGCCTGCAACAGCGCATAAGCCAGCTGAGGGTTTTGAAGTAACATGTTTCGAGCTTCCTGGTGGCTGTTTTGCACACAGAGCTTCATCTGCTTCATCAGCTCAAACATCTGCTCCGGGGGGAGACTAGCGACTGCTCTGGTAATTGACTCAGGGGCGTCCTCTGGATCGATGGGGTCCCCATAGGGCGAGTCAATGATGGGCGCTGCAGGCCCTAAGCTCTTTAACTCCTCCTTGTTCTTTTCGCTGGCAGCATTGTCCACCCGCAGCGCTCGGCCGCTGAACTCCCGCCCATTCAGGTTCCGCATGGCACTAAGCGCGGTCTCCTGGTCTTGGTACTCGCAGAAGCCATAACCCTTGGGTTTCCCAGTCTCTCTATCGTATACAAGCCGGAAACTGACAACAGAACCAACCTCCGAAAAAATGTCCTTTAACTGCTCCTCGGTTGCCTCATACGGAATGTTCCCCACGAACACGGAACGCAGTGATCGATCCATTGCCGGGTCTCTCACCGCCAAACTCGACATGATTCCGACTGTGCACACCGCAGCAAGCGGACTCCTGCGAGTCGTCGTCCTCAGACCCACACTTCCGCTGGGCAACGGAAGCGGCTCTCAAATTCCGGGCCGAAACCTAGCGACTCCGCTTTCATCGTTCCGCCTGCCCGCGGCATCTGCATTTCTACGTTCCACTAAATCAGCTACCGCTTTCTGTCCCTGGTTCTACGCGGTTCTGCCAGCCCCTTATTACCTAGAAGCAAGATTCCTTTCTGGTCGCTTATTCCGCAGGCTTTCCCGGTGCGGCGGCGGCCCCGGCCAAGAAAAGCTTGGTGCGCATTAACCACAGTAAAGATGGCCGCAGAGACTTCACCATGGCAACAGGGAGAGGCCGCCCCTCTTGACGTCAAGGGCGCGTTTGCTTCCGTTTGCCTGCGCGGGAAACCGCCAACCGAAAGCTCACTCCGGCCGCTTGTTCTCCATTCTGAGACGATGTTGTCTTAGAGCAGCTTCGCAGTCACTCAGCTCATGTTGTTACTTTTTATTTTCTGAACCGATATGAATATTAATCGATAAATAGTAAGTTTTGATGGCAGAAGCTGCCTGTACCTAGTGCAGTGCCCC